CACACACACACACACACACACACACACACACACACACACACACACACACACACACATCCTGCCCCCTGTTCCTGCTAGCCCTGGAGTATGGCACCATTCCTTGGAGATCCCTACATCCAGCCCGCACCTTTACAGAGTCCTTTTAATTAAATACTTCTCAAATTATCCAGTTCAATGCCCTAGCTGATATATCATGTAATTTCAGATAATGCATGTCTTTATACATCTAATTTCCTTTGAATGGATACCTGAAAAGGGAATTGTGGAGTTAAAGAGTATGAATATTCTTCAGGCTCTTGACCCGTATTTTCAACTTGCTTTTGAAAAGGGTCTGTTTACGTTGCTACCAGCACAGCCTTCCAGCATCAGATATTTTAAAAATATAATTTTGCTAATTCAATGAGTTAAAAAAATGATACTTTATGGTAGTTTATGTTTTTATGTCTTGAATTACCTCAAATTTGCTTCTAAATTATAGTTCTTCTGTGCCCATTCCTACTTTGGAGTTTGTCCATGTTTAAATCTCCTCTTCTCCCTACTTATTCTCTAGTTTTGTCATCTATTTAGTTAATAATTTAATCTTTTTAACAGATTATTTAATTTTTTTAAGCCTCAATGTCTTCATAAATGTATGTGTGTGTGTGTGTGTGTGTGTGTGTGTGTGTACACACACACATATACGCACACAAGTACGTATACATCTCCTAACAATAATACCTCTCTCACAGAGTTACTGTGAGAATTAAATGAAAATAAGTACCGAAGCATGTAAGGAGCATCCAAGCAACATAAATTCCTTTCTTCTTAATAAATATATATGAGTTCAATTAATAAATTATGTCCATTTTTGACAAAAAAAAANAAAAAAAAATTGTATCAGTTTTCTTTTGGGTTTATGTTGAAACTTAACTCATAAAATAATATAGATGATCTGGACAGTTCAGTATTATTCAGATTTGTTTTTATATTATGTGACTTTAGGAGATTCTTTACCCTTTTAGGCTAAAATCTTCAAAAAATGTATTCAAAAATGATTTTTATTAGTTGTGAAATGTTTAAGTAAAACATACTCTGATTCACACCAGTTTTGTAATTAAGGAATAAGCTGTGATTCTCGATTGTGGTAACTCAAGTCTGGTTTCTATTATATAGATCAGGTATGCTTTGGTAGGCTACCCATATATTTAATTCTCAGGGTCAACCACCACCAAAGATTCCTGTGGATAACATATTCTGATTGCTACTTTGAGAT